CCTCTCCCACTCTCACTCCTCTCTTCCACCATCTTCAAGGTGACAGCGTGCCCGAGCGCCTTGACCTGGCCTGGCTCTCGGTAGCATGATGCTGTGCTTCCCACCTCCGTGTCACAGCTGTGTCCCAGGCCAGCACCGCTCACCTTTTGTGCACTGGGATGGCCAGGGCTGGCCTATTACGCCCCGCTGGGAACCACTCCCTTTTCCTGCAGCCTGGAGCCATTTCTTGTCCATGCTTGGTCCTCACATCCCTTGGGCTCATGGCCTTGGGCTGTGCCCCAGCCGCTGGGCCCCGCATCGCTGGCCCTGCTTCCTGCCTGCTTCACACACCTCTGTGGGTAGCCTCTGGGTTGGTCCTCAGCCGGCCTGATGCGCCACCCCCTCACCCCAGGCGCAGGAGGCTGAGCAGAGGCATCCCGTCCCATGGCCCTGCGAGCTGGTCAAGCACGGCCCAGCCTGGGCTGCAGTGCCAGCACTGCCAGGTCTTAAATATGAAATGAACGTATTGGAAGCTTGAAATTATTTTATTTGCTGAAAAACTACTGTACACTGAAAAAATATGTATGCAAACACATCTCCTTATTTCCTTTATATTGCTCATTGTAAGCAGGTGGTGTGTGCGGTGCCCTGGGCCGTGGCAGCTGAAGCGTTTCTTTACGCGGCTGGCACACTGGCATGAGGAAACGGTGACAGCGCGCCCCACAGCCAGTTAAGGCTCCCCGAGATCGACTGGGGCTTTGCCTCTAATGCATCGACTTCCCGCCTCAAAATCGCTGCTTATGTTGGGTACCGTCACTCACTGATCCCACTTCGTGCAAGAGTTGACGTTACTGCGCCAATACAGTAATTACAACACGCGCGTCGGCCGCACCTGGGTGGGGTTTCCGGCCGCGCAGGCGCGGAACAGTTTGACGCGTCACGGGCCCCGTTCTGTTGACCTCTGACCCCTCATCGCGAGGCGCCCGCTGACGTCACTGAATGGCGCCGCGCAGCCCTTCCGGCGCAGGCGGGGGGGCTCGGCGATGGCGGACATGGAGGAGCTGTTCGGCAGCGACGCCGACTCCGAGCCGGAGCAGAAAGGTACCGCGCTGCCCGCCGTGCCCCGCTCCCGGGTGGCGGAGCCGGGTCTGTCCCAGTCGCGAGCTCCTTATAGCGGCGAGAAGCCCCTCGCGCGAGATGTAATGGGGTGCAGGGAACCCTGGGCAGGGCGAGCCCGGCTTTGCATGTTCATTCAAACAAGTTGGCCCCTGTGCCTGGACTGCAGGTGCCGCGTGGGCTCCCCGGGTCCGAGATGGGGATGGCTGAGGTTTTCCTTCCCCACTGAGCAAAGGGAGAACCTGCCCTTGCCCCTCGCCACCTGCACAAAACGTCTTGAGCTCCTTCCCCTCTGCTTTAGTACAGAATCATTCCCTTGCTCTCCTGAGGTTTACAGCATTATGTCGTGTTCAAGACATCAGCTCCAGATGAGCTGCCACTGAAACGGGAGGTCTGTGCCAGGGATGAGCACTTCCTGGTGCATCCGTTCCCTGTACCGTGTGTGTAGAAATGAGATTTTCTGAACGAGAATGTAGTTCTGAATAAACCTTTATTGACCGTATTCAGACAGGCTTATATTCAGAAAGAGAAAAATGTCGTGAGTTCCCTTCTTCATTTTATATGAAAAAATAATTTATTGCTGTTAGTCTTATAACTTTTTTATACAGACTTGAGATAATTCCAGCTTGTTAACAGAGTTCATATATTACAACTGTCTTGAATAACTGAAGGCAAATGTTGAAAAAAAATTTAATGGCTATTGTCCATGTTGATTTTACCACCAATTTAATTTTTTACGTTTGCAAAGTCTCTCTCATGAATATTGTTTTTGGGTATTTTTCAAAACAACTGTCCATTTTTCCCTTCGCTAAAAACAATGGAACAGCCTCTCATCCCTCATGAATATTTCTATTCTAACTAGCCTGTTTGTATGAATGTCATGGGTGGTTGATTGGATTTGGAAACCATTTCAGTTTTAAATTCCCATAATGTCATCCACAAAATAACATAGTTTTTACTCTTTAGTAAAGGTATTAATTTTACCAAAAATTTCATGTAATTTCTAATGAACATATGTGTCCTCACTCCATGTGAATGTCTGATCTTCCTCTGACTCCTCATGTGGCAGTTCAGACTCTTGTCATTTTAGGTTACACTTGTTTTGTTGTCTGTTTCTTTAGCTGTTTGCTTATCCCATTCCTGGGTGTTTTACTTCAATAATTTTAGATAACTCTCCTCTCGTGTCCAGTTTTCTTCTCCAGTCTGCTAAATAAAACAATTTTTTCAGTGTTTCCTCGTAAGAAAGCCTTTTCCCAACCTTCTTAATGAGTGGCTGATACTTGTTTTGCAGATTCCGACTCTGGATCTGACTCTGACTCTGATCAGGAGAATGCTGGCTCTGGCAGTAACGCTTCTGGAAGTGAGAGTGATGGGGATGATGACAGAGAGGCAGTAAAGCCCAGTAATAAAGAGCTCTTTGGAGATGACAGTGAGGATGAAGCAGCATCTCACCATACGGGTAGTGACAACCAGTCTGAAAGATCATACAATCACTCCGAAGCTTCAGGGCATTCTGAGCATGAAGACAATGACCAGTCAGACTTAGATCAGCACAGCGGCTCAGATGCTGGCCATGATGATGATGACGATGACCAAGGACATGGGTCGGAAGAAGGTAGCCATCGCTCAGAGGCGGATGGATCTGAAAAAGCACATTCAGAGGATGAAAAGTGGGGCAAGGAAGACAAAAGTGATCAGTCAGATGATGATGATAAGCTACAGAACTCTGACGATGAGGAAAGACCACAAAACTCTGACGAGGAAGAGAAGGTGCAGAACTCTGATGATGATGAAAGGCCTCAGGTGTCTGATGATGAGGAGAGGCTACAGAACTCTGATGAAGAGAAAATGCAGAACTCTGATGATGAGGAGAGGCCACAGATGTCTGATGAGGAGAAAATGCAGAACTCGGATGATGATGAACGACCTCAACATTCAGATGAGGAAGAACAGGAACGTAAATCTGGTAGGACTGGATACTTTGCTAACAGGTTGATAAATGTCATCGTTATCATTAGCTTGTCTGAGTCTATCCCAACCATGCAGTTGGTCCAATAAAGATATCGGCCAGAAAAAACCTTGCCCCTCACATAGTTCCTGGACTATCATGGCTACAACATCATTATCCATGAAGTTGTAATAGTCTCAGTTGATGAGACTACTAATGAAGATGCTGAATAGTTCTTTCTTGATGGTATATTCTAGTGCTTTTCCATGAACAGAATCCAGTTAAGACTCTTTATTCCAGTGCAGTGACTGTCATTATTACAGTGATGACCATGAGTCATGTTGACAGCTCCCTAACCACAGTGTTTTTGTTGTCCTGGCTTGAAATAATTCAGATTTGAATATAATATCAAATTTTAATTTATTTATTCTTTGTGAGTCAACTTCAGCCAATCCACAGATTTGTATTAATGAAAGAGGGAGAGAGACAGAGTCCAGTTTTTAATTTGATGAGTTTGTGCATTTCCTTTGATAGAATCTGCAAGAGGCAGTGACAGTGAAGATGAAATTTTACGCATGAAGCGCAAGAAACGAATCGCATCAGATTCAGAAATGGAGAGTGATGCAGAAGGACAGAAAGGTAACCATCGATATTTGTTAAAATGCTTCTACCTTATCTAACATTAGGCATATACCACAAATCTACCTTTAAACTCTAGGATGCATAATGTTTGGAGCAAACTCAGGATTGGGGTATCTGGAATGTAGTAGGCCGTTTTGACCAAGATATACCACTAGAGCTATGTTGGGGAAACTTACACAACAGTTCCAAGAGTCGTCTAGCCAGTGCTATCATCCTTTCAATTTCCTCAGCAACAAATTGAACTAAAGGGCAATGTAGTACCTATCTTCAAGAAAGGGAGGAAAGTGGATCTGACAGACTACAGGCCCAACAGCCTGACCTCTATCCTGGGGAGGGTCTTAGAAAAAATCATCAAGGCAGCCATCCTCAACGGACTGGCCGATGGCGATGCCCTGAGGGACAGCCAGCACGGGTTTGTTGTGGGTAGGTTGTGCTTGACCAATCTCATTTCCTTTTACAACCAGGTGACCTATTACCTGGACAAGGGGGAAGAGGTTGATGTCATATATCTCGATTTTAAAAAAGCCTTTGATCTAGTATCCCATGATCACCTTTTGGCAAAACTGGCCAACTGCGGCCTTGGGTCCACCATGATCCACTGGCTGGGGAATTGGCTCCGGGGTCAGACCCAGAGGGTGGTAGTTGACAGAAGTCAATTGTCATGGTGCCCTGTGACCAGTGGGGTCCCTCAAGGCTCTGTCCTTGGAACTATTTTGTTCAACCTCTTCATTAATGATGTGGACATTGGAGTCAGAAGTGGACTGGTCAAGTTTACCGATGATACTAGACTTTGGGGTAAAGCATCCACACCTGAGGACAGGGGTAATCCAGGCTGACCTTGACAGGCTCAGTAAATGGGTGGACGAGAACCTGATGGTGTTTAACACCGAAAAATGCAAGGTTCTCCACCTTGGGAGGAAAGACCTGCAGCATGTTTATAGGCTTGGCAGTGCTACGCTGACTAGCACTATGGGCGAGAGTGATTTGGGGGTCAGAATTGACCACAGGATGAACATGAGCCTTCAATGTGATGCTGCAGCCAGTAAAGTGAGCAAAGCACTGGCTTGCATCCATAGATGCTTCTCAAGCAAATCCCAGGACGTCATTCTCCTGTTGTACTCGGCCTTGGTGAGGTCGCAGCTGGAGTACTGCGTCCAGTTTTGGGCTCCACAATTCAAAAAGGATGTGGAGAAGCTTGAGAGGGTACAGAGGGAAGGCCATGCGCATGGTCAGAGGTCAGGAAAACAGACCTTATGACGAGAGGCTGAGAGCCACGGGACTTTTCAGCCTGGAAAAGCGCAGGCTCAGGGGCGACCTGATGACAACCTGTAAGTTTATAAGGGGTGTTCACCAGGACCTGGGGGAACGATTGTTCACCAGAGCACCCCAAGGGATGACAAGGTCAAATGGTTATAAACTCCTGCAAGACCGTTTCAGCCTGGACATAAGGAAGAACTTCTTTACTGTCCGAGCCCCCAAGGTCTGGAATGGCCTATTGACGGAGGTGGATCAAGTACCTACTTTGAACACCTTCAAGAGAAACCTGGATGTTTTTCTTGCTGGGATCCTGTGACCCCAGCAGACTTCCTGCCCCTGGGGCAGGGGGCTGGACTCGATGATCTTCCGAGGTCCTTTCCAGCCCTAATGTCTATGAAGTCTCTGAAGTTTTCAGATGTGACAACTCTGATGTCAGTATATCTTGACATCTTGCTGAAAGCTTTTGGATTTACTGCATCTTAATTAATTATAAGGTCTTGGAGGTCTTTGTACATTGTCACCAGCCACTTTTAACTGGAAGAGGTGGAGGCACTGAATGTTTTGAGACACTGTCTTTTCCCAAACTGTTAATCAGTTCAGTTTGTGTTAACAAAAAGATCTGAACCATATGGCCAAAAAGCTGTCTGTCTTGAATTAATCAGCTCTTGGCTTCTGTCTCAGTTTTCGTGTTGTCTGAGTCATTCCAAGATAAATGTTCCCTGAGTTTTGATAATTTTTTTAAGTCTGGGGGTAGGCCGGAGGAATGAGTTTTTGTAGGGGAAGAGGGAAATCAGCTTTTCAAGTTACCTTTTTTAATTAAAAAAAATATACTCCTTTTCTCCCCTTTCTATGTCACTTTTAGTGGTTCCATAGATTATTTTGAGGCATAGGTTTGAAATCTCTTCCCTTTTTCCACATATATGAAAATACATATTCTGTTCCAGATCATACAGATGTCATGGATCTCTTTGGTGGTGCAGATGATATTTCTTCTGGGAGTGATGGGGAAGACAAGCCACCAACTCCAGGACAGCCCATTGTAAGTAGAGTTCTCCTCCTGGCTCACTGACTTAATCAAGAGTTTTAAAACATGGAAAACTAAGTTTCAGGACACTTTAACAAAAAAAGACTGAAAGCCTTTAATAAGAATTCTCTTGTGATATTGCTCAAGGTGAAAGATGCATTAACAGTTTGTTTTTTATATGTATATTTATGACACCTTGGCTAGGTTCATTTGCCTGTTTTCTGTGTTATGATGCTTGTAAAATCTGACTACTTACTTCTGTTTATGTAACCAAGTAAGATATGATAACATAACTGTTGTTGATACTTCTACAGTATTTTCCTTTTGGGACTAGGTTTAAAGACCCTTTACATCTAGGTGCCAGTTTTAAGCCAGATAAAATTAGTATCGTTTACTTGCTTATCAGCGTTCAGTAGTAAACTAATCATATGCATCAGTTGACATCTTATTCCATACTTCTTCTGGCATCTTGAATTAAGCAATTTCAATCATGAATATTAAGATGGCATTCTTAAGTACAAGAGCTGATAATTTTGTCCATGTAGTGTATACTTTCAACAGCAGATATTATAAGTGATAGGGGTGCACTGATAGAGATTTTTGGGGCTGATACCAATAGCTGATATTTAAAGAGGTATATCGGCTGACACCAATCTGATTTCCAATACAGCATGGAGAGCTGCTTCCAGCTGGTAAGTCCAGTGTGGTAGAAGGCGGGGGGGGGGAGCGGGAGCAGATCAATGCCCCCCATGGTGAGGAAAGGACTGGAGGGGGTGGAGTTATGGCTCGTGGAGGGAGGTGGCTTCTGCCACTGCTTGCACCCCGGGAGGGCACTGAGGCGGGGGGCATGTGACCCCCCAGATCTGCATGGGGTGGGGCAGGGCTCTTGGCAGGGGCTGGGCTCAGAGTGGGCACCAGCAGTGCTGGGAGGATGCTGTATCCACTCCAAATTTCGCTGCCACTCCACTGCCAGCCGCCTGGCACAGCCCCAGCTCAATGCCCTGCCTCCACCCATGTGCCAGGAAAAAGCTGGGGCTAAGCCAAGCGGCTGGTGGCACTGGGAGCAGAGCAGCGAAATTTGGGGTGGATACAGCATCCTTCCAGCATCATTGGCGCCTGCTCCGAGCCCAGCCCCTGCCAAGAAGAGCCCCGCGCAGATCCAGGGGGGCACACGCCTCGCCCCCCACCCAGCTGCCCTTCCAGGGTGCCAGTAGTAGCCAGAGCTACACCACCTCCACCCCCCGCCTCTGCCCCCTCCCTTATGGCAGAGGAAACTGATCTGCTTCTCCATGGCCCTTCTCTCCCCACTCCCTGTCCACCACACTGGCTGGAGGCAGCTCTCCACACTGCCGGCTGTGCTTCTTGCTGCCTGAGTGCTGTGGTGCGGCTCCGCACAGCGTGGGCATTTGTTGGCCGAATCATCAGCTCTATTGGGCCAATATCCGATACAGCCGCTTTTCTTTATAGTGGTACTGATTTGATATCGGACCAATGTATCAGTGCACTTCTAATAACCAAGTGTCAAAACATAAAGTAAAAAAGGTCAGTGGAACAACTGGGACCACCTGAAAGGCTCTTTCACCCTTTTCAATAATTTAGTCTCAATATCGGTTTGCTACTCTGTCCTCTAGGATGAGAATGGGTTGAATCAGGACCAGCAGGAAGAAGAACCTATTCCAGAGACTAGAATAGAAGTAGAAATACCAAAAGTCAACACAGACTTAGGAAACGATTTATATTTTGTGAAGCTGCCCAACTTCCTCAGCGTGGAGCCCAGGTAATACCATGATGAAATCTATGATGCGTGTAATTTAATATAATATTTAGTGTTTTTCTCTCTTGATTTTATTCAGTGAAATGCTTTGATCATATTAATACATTTTAAACACTGTATACATTGATATCTATCAAATATTCAAATTATTTAATTGAATTTAAATTTACTTTGTCAAGGTTCATTGTATAAAATACACACAACTGCTTTTAATTCTTCTTAATAGTTTGACTTTGTAAATTTTCCATTCTTAGCCAGGTTAGCCTACACTCACCTTTGTTGCACAGAACTACCAATTTTCCTGAGCTTGAAATTCAGCTCAGACGTGTAACTGTGTTGTGTTTGACAGGTGCCTAGCAGCATTTCCCCAAATTATAATTGTTCTGCCCTTCTGCAGCACTGCTTTTCTTTTATGTGAAGGATGATGATATTTTCATCATGAATAGTGGACCATATATTGTAAAACCAAATCATCTTGCCTTGAGATTTAATTCAGAATACACAGCTTATCTTGGAAAATTGACTGCTTCCTAAATCCAGGAAATCTGGTTTAATAGCTTTAAAATTGTGTATGTCTTTTTCTCAGTGGGTAACCACTGCAAAGAGTTGTGATGCAACTTTTATTTTAAATATACTGTGTTGAATGAAAAAGGTAAGTGTATGCAGTCCACCATTAACTACACAAAGCAATGCAGTTTATCTAATTGTTGAAAAAAATAATAGAACTGTGTGCATTATTTGCACATTTCTACTATGTATCCTCACCAAATGGTAATCTTAAAAGTGCAATAAATAAACGCATTAGGAGAGTAGTATTTTCATGAGTTTGTGGCATATTAAAGACTACTTTAGGTCACAACCAATTGAATCCTAAGCCTAGCTTTTATGTTTATTCAGAGTTTGAGGCTTAATTTTCTAATGTTTTATAAGCCCCTTAATCCAGCTAAATGTAAGAAGATATTAAAATGCATTTTTTGAATACTGAAAATACTATGTTGGATTTTAGAAAAAGCTTGACTCTTTTTTTTTCTTTTTACCTGTTTGAAAAAGGAACTTTTTTCTTGCATTTAAGCCAGAAGCTCTATATTAAAGTAGTTCAGTGTGATTGATTGTTTTCATAATACTGGCCATATAATTTCAAAATGTATAATTACTTTTCTATAATTCAGTGAGGTCTGGCTTCAAACTTCCTGTCAGTCTTTGAGAGAAAATGATTACAAATATCTAACTTTTTCCAAATATTTTTCTCACCTGAGGCTTACTGGCTCTTTTAGACAAATGTCCATTGTCTTGCTAATTCTGTACTAATGTTCCTGCTATACTTTAGTCAGATAGTTCTCCTACTTGTTCATGCTGCAGATCTCTTCAAAAGTGAGCTCCTCTCTTGGTTCTCACAGTTGTGGTCTGTGGATGATAAAGCTTGATTTATAATCTAGTAACTTAACACTGAGAAGATGAAGCTCTGATTTGTGTATCTCTGTGGGTCAGGATGTGCTGATATCTAAAGTCTACAGCCAGTTGTTCCAGTGCTCTGCAGTAGTTGATAGCTTCCTCAACCAGTAGACAAGAACAAGTGACAACAGCTAGTCTTTTGCTGCCCCTCTGTTTTCAAACACCCAAACATTCTCATTGTAGAACTTCCAGCACTGTAACCTAGCTACTTCATAAGGTATCTGTCTCATACTGGTACTGGATCAGTCTGAATATATTAGCTCGTAGACTGAAGCCTCACCTCTTCTCTACCAGACTGATGTTAAGGAGAGTCACACATTTGAGGTATCTATCCAGAATCATTCAGCTAATGAGAGAGACTATGCTAGGTTTCCTGTGATGTGAAACTAATCCCTGGTCATCTGTCCTCACCCAATGTTTAGTTAACCTAAAATGTCCAGAGACTGTCTGTGTTGTATGAAAATGAAAAAGATGTGTCAGGAATTAGAGTAAAGGGAAGTGTATTGGTGGAAGATTGCATTATACTCTGATCTCTGGTGGTGTGGAACCTTATACGAATATGTGAGGCTAGAATCAGAAGTCACCAAATGAAGCAGCTGTGCTGGAAAAGTAGCCCCTGTATCCAGAGGTAGGAGGCAGAGAATCAGATGCAGTGGAGAACCAAGCCCCTTCACTG